TGAAAAACATGGGCGGCAGCGGGAGGTGTGTGTGGGGGGGGGGGGGGGAGGGGACACGGTGCTGGACGAAAGTCCCTGTCATTTGCCGATCGATGCTAAATCGACACAGTCTTCTTATTTTGATGGAAAGTCTTTTCGGATTGCGCGTACTAGTCGGATAATGCAAGTGACGAAGAAGATTACATTCGAGAGTACTGCCGGAGTGGTTTCATTGAAAAACTCTGCTCATCGGTTTTCATTCCATCAGCACACTTTACACGAGTATCGGGAACGGGTAAAGAGTGAAAACACATTCAAGGCATACAGTAGTATCAGTATTAAGAACGACTGACTCGAATTACGTAACAAGGTAAGACCTGTTTATACTACACACTTTAACTTTGGATTGGGGTTAGAAATAGCGGTAGAAATAAAGATCGTATCGGTCCTCAATTCTGTGGCAAATAAACAAAACTAAGCAGTTGGAAAAAACTTGCTCAGTATGAGACGTGTATTGAAATAGTTGTTCAGTTTCCAGTAAAGTAAACTTTTAGCAGAAAATGTGTGATGCTAGATGTTGCTCGTCAGGTTTAAAGTGTACAACTGTACGACAATTCCTCCGCGACACGCCTATCGTCGGATATCATTTTGAACTTGTCAATAGCTCGTCTAAATAAGTCTGCTTTTTTGCACAACGTGATCGAACTTGATACTTCTTCTCCTCGTGTTCTACTCTTCCATGGCCTGCCAATCTGATACCCACGATGATGATGATGATGATGATGACAATGGGGGACACATTGTCTAGTACTTACCCGAAGATATGCGCTACTGGCCCCCGATGGTAATGACTTGTCACGATAATCGGACTTTCGGAACGCGGGTCATGGTCGGGACATATATGTTCAGCAATATAAAAGATTATGTGCAGATTAAATCAGGTGAGTGGTTGATGGTGAATAAAGAAAGAATGAAGAATTCTTCCGTTAGAGATGTCAATAAAAATTAGCATTGAATCATACTAAAGCGTATAATTTGATTTTTTTCACTACAGTTACCTTAGAGAAGCGTCGTGAAATAATCACATTTGACTGGTAATCCATCAGACTTTATCCCTAAGTGCATTCCTCAGTTAAGCACACACACACATATTCGTGGGGGAGGCACCGAATTCGAGTTGTGCATTTTCACCAATCTACCCGCTAGTTGATCTCCGTACCGCTCGCATGGAATGTGTTTATATCACCATCATCTGGGGGCTGAACAGGATTACCAATTCGTCTTCTTCAACAGTAATCAGTTATTTCGACAGGCTGATACCAACATTTAATGGGAAGCCTTTCACTGAATCAGAGGTTCGGTGTAGATTTAACTGCAGTAACTAATTAACCAATCAAATAACTTATCAACTAACCGACAAGTGATCGTATGTTATTTTGTAATTCTAGTTTACTCCAGTACGAGCTGTTTGAAAAAGTAATACCATACACACACACACACACGCCTTCCGTGAGAGGGATCCAGCAATTGGATCCCAGTGATGGTACTCTGAAGAGAGTGAAATCCCAGTGCTCTGCTTGCTGAGTGCATGAATGATTTTGCAAACTAAACATGTTTAATTGAAGGATGGTACGTTAACCACGAGAAAAAGACTTGGACAATCAAACTTCCGATCAAATGAGATCCAGCAGGTAAAATGGTTACGAGAATCCTGAATGCCGCAGTTCAAACAACGTTCCATGCTGCCAAACTCAGATGCGTATTAGCGACATTAGTCGTCACCCGATGCCAGAACAAGGATACGTTACCTATGTTGACCTCGTCAACCAATTCAAGTGCACCTGTGGTGCCACTTACGTAGACTGAAAGATAAGTCAGCTATCGAAAACGATCAAGGAATATCAACCCATGTGGCTTAGGCACGGAGTAATCGGAACTAATTCCAGTTCGATTGTTGCACACTTGGTTGAGACTGGACATAAGGTGGACGCTAATTCGGCTTTCATCATCATTTATCACGTCCCGCAACACAAATCCAAAGCTGTTTAAGTTAAAGCGCTAGCAACGGCCGAGGCAATTATCATCCGCTTATGGAAGCCAGCATTGTGTGCTCAAAAATATACATGTTCGGCACTTAAACTTCCCTGGCCTAAAGCGGACAATATCACTCATGGGCGTTGCGATGATGCACATCAAGTATCAATGCTTACGTGACCCGCTCTCATCTGAACTAGAGAATAGGAGACAAACGTGTCCCTACCCAAACTCTTTGCTATCATTACTTGACCTCGACTGTTTGACTCTAACACAACACCCTCCCCGNCTTACACAACAATGATTTCAAATGGGAATTCGTCGTGTATATCGTAAATGAAACGTGAACTGAAAAGCTAGGAAGCACTGGACAGTTGTTTCGATCTGGTTGGGTCTCATCAGCAGTGCGAATCCATCTACCCGACTGGGGATCGAACCCGGGACTTCATGGGCAGAACGCAAGCGTGCTACCCACTACGCCACCGAGCAGCCGATCAGGCCGTTTTTCATTTTCCATTTACACGATATAGCAGCTTTTCAGTACACGCTTCATTTGCTGTTTACACGACGAATTCCCATTTGAAATTTAACCAAATCCTCCATTACTCACACTAAAATGATTGTAATGACTTGAGAAGTAACTCACCGAAAACATGTGCGCCTACGATCTGTTGCAATCGCACCTGCGGTTTGCGTGCGTACGTTCTGCCAACATATGCATCGATAATTTGCTCGTTCGTTATCGATCGATATCTATCCCGATTAACCAGTCCACGCATTTGTCCATGCCAATGATGCCGGCCGACATGGGCCTGATTCCGATTGGCTGTTAGTTCTATCGCTGCCTTGCTTAACATATGCTTGGCACGATTGATTGTGAATGAGTCACAATAAATCCATCCTACCCTGCGTACTGTTGTTCTACTTTGCTAGCGGGCTACGGGTCCGAGACTACAATGTGTGAAATCCAAACGTAACACGATTTATGTTCTGACCATGAAGATGGGTTTATTTTGTGATTTGAATGAAAGTATAGATATTGAATTTATTGTTTTTTTTTTAAATCATTTCATTATCCTACATAAAACTTGTTGGTTAGCTCAAACCTTCATTATATTTTATTTGGATTTGACCGGAGTGACACGAGATCCATAATCGATGTAGTACTACAAGTCAGACTGGTTAACAGATTTAGTAACCAAGTTTATTGGTTTCCGAAACAAGTACTGAATAATTTGCAAAACGTCCCGAAGGGGATGTAAGATGACTTGTGCACTGAATTTCCGATCACATCTTTGCTGCTATCAAAGTCAGTGATTCTGTAGGATAGTTAATCAATCGCAACTCAGCACATTTAGTGTTCGAAAATTTTGACCCCTTTCCAAAAGACACATGAAACGGAACCCAGCCCACTCCTTAGACTGCGGTTTTCATACCACTATGCCGTTTTGTGGATGAGGCTCGGATTAGGTGACGACTCCGGTTGTGAGTCATCCAGAGACTATTCAAGTATTTTTGTTTGAGAATTGGCGGCGTTCCATCCACGAGCACATTCTGGAATCATTCATTTATAATAAGGACTGCGGTCCTGTGATTTGCTTGGCACACAAACTGAACTGGCATACGTTTGGACTTACCGACTCCCCACCTATCATCCCAGAGAATCCGGTTACGATCGATGAGTTTCTTTCTCGAAATCCCAAATAATCACTATGGTTGACCCAAATCACATTTACTGCTACACCATTCAGAAACGAGAACAAGGCAATCGTGCTATCATAAAGTTTATTGTTTTTTTACTAATAATGCTCACAAATAATGAACTATGATAAACACCACCCATTTTTCCGCTTCATTCATTGAATACTCCCCCTCCTTTTCTTCTCTCTCCGTACACACACACACACATACACACACACTGACGCATGTCTCTGCAATCGAAACAGAGGATGATTCTGACGAAGCCAGTACGGTGATCGTCACCGAGGGTCCCGGTTTCGCCCCGAGGAATCGTTTGAACTTGGGCGTGGACTTCAATCAAATTCAGCTGGACGAATTTGCAGCACAAGAACCGGATAAAGTACCCCCGTCGAGTGTCGGTTTCGCCGAGTCCAAAGGCTATGATTCGGACGAAGAAGATGGTGTGAATTTGGCGGACGTGAATCCAAGTGTGGCTCCGATCGGAGAATTCGTTGGCGGAGGAGAAGAAGGTGAAAAACCAGACGAGCTTCGAATCGACTTGACCGATGATAAAAAGGACAGCATGGAAGCCGCACCAGGAGGAGTAAGTACAGTGTCTATTATTGCTATTCTTTGACTGGTGGTGCTGATAGTCAGAGCTCATTTCTTCGGATCTTTCTACTCGCTATAGATCGGATCCAATGAAAGTTATTGCAAACCTCGACTGAGAGAGTAACTTCATTTTTTTTAAACTCTCTCTGTGAATCATATGAATCAGGTCGAAATCGCACCAGATCATTTATTTTCATCAAAGGAGTGGACCGGCGGAAGTTGGGGGAGGTATATTTGTCGTCAATGCAAGTGGAACAACGGGGAGACTTGGGCAAGACGTGCATGTTCACCATGGTTGACAGACGATAGATATCGTCCCTAGCTCATTCGTCCACAAGTGCCATTTCGTCAAGATTGAGACCAGGTGCAGTTCAATCAAAGAATGTAATGGGAAGTTTTTGGTGTGTAGTTTACATCGAAAATCGCCATTTATTGCATTGAGGATCAAGCCCAGATAGAATAGGCACGTGTTACCATCACTTGACTACTACTACTACTACTACTACTACTACTACTACTACTACTACTACTACTACTACTACTACTACTACTACTACTACTACTACTACTACTACTACTACTACTACTACTACTACTACTACTATTGTGATGTACTCACATTTGTCAGTAGTATGCAAAATAGTGTGGTTGGTGGTTTCCTCCAACGATCAAGAATTAACAAGACTATCAAGGGTAAATTACTGTCTCAAAGAATAAATACCGACTGCTCCAATCATTATTCGGTGTGATGCCGGGAATTGCGATGACATGTTTTAAATCAGGTTTCTGTTATACGTATGCTAAATTAGTGATATCCTAACTATAATCTACAATAAAGAACTATCCTGGACCAGGCAGAACTTGTGGAACTATAACTACTACCACCACCAGCACCACCACCACAACAAAAACACCAACAAAAATTACTAATACTTTTACTACTACTACTACTGTTGTAATTTCACAAGATGGTATCGAGACGAGGAACATTGTTCATTACGAATAACGTTACTGGTATCAGTCAATTTCTATACATACAACAAAATGTCTCTTTTGCAGCGGGTATTTAGAATTCCTACAAGCACACAGGATAATCAGCGTAACAGTCGGACGATGAATGCGCATTTCCCATTTTGAACACAGTACTTCGCTCTGTGAGATCTTGCTCATTTTTTGACCGTTTGACCGTTGCTACCATCGAATTTCAAAAAATATATAATATCAGATGTTGAAACTCGTATCTTATTCCATTTTATTTTTGTTAATCACACTAAAGGCGGAACAAGTTAGCACATCAGTGGAACCAACGAAGGAACAACTGGACGCAGCTGATTGGTGGACTCGGTTCTACGCGACAATCCAAGGGACAGAAAATTACCAGGAAGAGGTAAGTGTGCGTTATACCAGCAAGTTATCATCTTATGTAAACGAGCCACACTGATTATTTTCGATCTCAGTGATTGTGCTTAGATACCACAGGGGAATAACTGACTAGGTGTTATGAGATGAAACTCACAGTGGTCTTCATAGCGAATACCTTTTCAATAAGAGGTCGAATAGTGTTCCTCATAAATCGAGGCAACACTGAATGTTTTGGTTTCATTTGTACTGTGATAAAATTTCGTACTCTTCACTTTATGAGTCTCAGTTCACGCACGAGTAGCGATTAAATATGCTGAGGATAATCGTCATCTCATGGAGGAATGTTCAACCCGAAAGAACTATCAATCTAGCCGCTGATTCATTTCTCGTCATTGTTTCTTATTGGACAGGAAAAATTCGACGCACTGTCAGACTCAGAAGACAGCGAACTCAGTCAGAGATTGGACGAAATCGAATACCCGGAAGAACATGAAGGTGAGTCGAATTAAAACTGGTCGATATTGAGAATTCGTACTTTTCCTATCTTTCTTTCTTTCTTTTCAATTTCACTTCCTTTTATTGAATATACTAGGATACAATTTTCAGGAAGGGGGAAACGGCCAATTAACGGGATGCTAATCAACACACACGATGGGGAAAGTCAGTCGGAAGTGGTGGGGATAATTTGGTGACGTTATCACCGGGTCACCACCATCTGTCTGATTTTTCATGCATTGCTATCGCTAGCTACATATTTAATTGAGACATACCGGGTGTCAAACTCTCTGATTCGAAATATTTCTTATATTATTATTGAATAAACGAATCTTCAGTAAACATTCGACCAGGGTCTGAAACCAAACAAAGGCATTATGGGGAAATACAGTATGATGATGATGATGATGATGATGATGATGATGATGATGATGATGATGATGATGATGATGATGATGATGATGATG